CTCCACTAAAATCCCAACCTCTCCCAAAATATCCAAAAGTCTTTTATCTTCATTTGATAATCAAAATAAAGTCTTTACCCTCCTTTTTAGCCTTGGACGAAAATGAGGACCAAAAAGACAAACCCTGTGTGTTGTTTTCTACTTCTTTTGTTCCTTTCATTAAATAAGACCTTCCCCTTATTTTCCTACACCTTTCCAATGAAATTCCCACCCATTTTCTTCCCAAAATCAGGCCTAAATACCCACACACAACAAAGGGACAAAAATCAGCAAAAGATCTTTGATTGAATAGTAACTTCTTGTCCTATTATTCACTAAAAATCAGGCCATGTTATTTTCTTTGTCTTGGCCCACAATGGCGGAATTTCCAACTATCAAACAAGACAAATCTACACCTTATTTTAGTCTCATAATCCCCTTGTATTTTCCTTACACATGGCTGAATAAAACCAGCCCCATGAAAGCCAAACAAATCCCTTTTTTCCGTTGAATGCAATCCACTAATGAGATAAGAACAAATGCTGATTTGTGAAGGGATGATGCTTGGTAGTTTCCTAGTTTGTTTTTACTTTCATTTGTAATGTTTACTCCCTTTCCATCATAGTATATAATTCGGCCCTTAGGCCTTTGTAATACAGCTGTGTTGTACCCCACCATGCATCACTAAAGGGTAAGAAAAATCAGGGGTTAATGCTTGAGTGTTATAATCCTAATCGGGTTGAATTTATTCCTTTTTCCCATCAAAAAGCACAACCCTTAGCCCTTGTTGCCCAAAATCCCCCCTAACCAAATCACAACCCACAAACCCTCTCCCACAACATCCAAACTCATTTCCTCTGCCCAAAATAAAGTCTTTGTTATTCATTACTAAGCCTAGGCCGAAGGTGAACAACAAAAGACAAAATAAAACTTTTGTTTATTTTTTTCTTAAACATGATAATCGATTATCCAACATAGATAATCGACTATTGCTTCCCTCTGAATTCTCCTAACGTATTCCTGCAATGCTCCATAATCGATTATCTCCCAATAGAAAATCGATTATCATTCATCTCAGAAGATATCCAGTTTGGAAACCAGTCCTTGATAATCGATTAATCTTTTTGTGTCAATCGACTACTAGATACCTCA